CATCTAAAGGTCCTAAATTTAATCACATCTACTTAGTCCCCTCTGCCATGTAAGGTAGCACATTCTGGGGTATGTTCCAGTCTATTGTAACAGGTTCCAGGGATTAGGGCAGGGACATCTTTGGGGGGCATTATCTGCCTACCATAGATGTGGAAATGAATAATAATCCTAAAAATGGCCAACATTTATTGAAAGATTACTGTGTGCCTGGTATCTAGGAGTTTTACTTGAATAAACTCATTTAGCTCCTACAATATTCCTATAAAATAAAAACTATTATTACTCCCATTCATACTGAGGAGGATGCTAAAGTGCAGAGGTAAAATGACTTGTCCGAGGCCTCACAATTGGTAAATAGCAGAGCAAGGATTTTAACCCTGCAGTCTAGCTCCAGAGCCTGTACAATTAAAAAGGGGTCTTCCTATAAGATTGGGAACCCCTGCCCTACAGCACAGAGTCTCTTCTAATCAGGCTCCTGCCTTAGGTCCTAGCCGGCCCTCCCACTCCTTCAGATGTGGCTGTGCACTAGGGAGAGATGTAGTCCCAAGAGTTGGGTCTCCAGGGCCAATCTAGGATTGGGGTTCCCACCAAGAAGCCAGAAGCCCTTTAAATTTTGTGAATTCTGGCATCGTATTTGTTGTCTTCATATCTAGCCATTGATTGAAAAAATATATAATGGCAAAAGGCATGTTAAATATTGAAACATTTAATAAATGTATCTCTTATTGATCAGTATATTCATATGTTTTAAATAAGGTGAGATAGATCTACAACCCCTTATTCACAATTCCAAACTTCACAAAGCACTGAAAATGGGTTTCAGGGGGGTGGTAAATTTGTGACAAACTAATTTTGGGAGCAAAACCTGACCTGAACTGACATGAGGCCATTTATAACCTTTCTTTATCCCATTATTAGTGAACAGTCCCATATTTAGCTGCAGAACTATTAATGTTTGATTATGTGGTGATGCCCCAGTTTCTGCTGAGAATGTTATTAATATATCATATATACATCCTATTACCTTTCTAAAATCTGAAATATCCAACTTGCAAACATATTTGGTCCCAAAGATTTGAAATAAATGCTTGTGGACCTGCAGGAGACATATGTGTAAGATCTGTTATTTGTTTATAGTCAGTGCTTAGTGTACACATGAATCCATTGACACCTTGCAATAAGTTCACTCAGTGCACACCAAGCTTCCTGGCCTACTTTGCAGTTCCACCTTTTGTCCTCATTTTAAATGTCTGAGTTCCTAATCTAGGCACTACCTCATTTCCTAGAAGCTAGTTCCCTCTTTTTAAAAATAAATACCATATCACTCTAATGCATTTAAAGAAAACACTTCTATATAATAAGAAGCTACCATGATACAACTACAGAATGACGTAGGATGGCTTATAATCACCCCGTGGAATCACAGAGAAGAATAGATCACTGCAGATTATTGATTATGGCATGCCTTAAAGAGACCGACAAAAATTCACACTACCCAGCTTGGGAGGCTCTTAGAAAATTCAATCCTATGGAGCTTGGCAGAAAGAAAGAAAGCACTGGCTTAAAGGACGTGGATACTGTATTCTATTCCTCCTCTGCCATCTCATGCTGAGTAACAGCTCAGAGGGTGCTTTACTACTCTGGACCTCTGTTTTTTATCTATGAAAGGAGGGGGGGATGATTAACTCTGCAATGCTAGGTTATGTGACCCTAAAGATTACCTCTTTTGGGTGCAGATATGCATTCAGAAACACAAATTCTTTTTTTTTTTTTTTTTTTTTTTT